CGTTAGAGTCTGCTCATTAATATAATAACATATATAATTTATGATTAAAATCAATTTTAACTCGATTTTGATCATAGATATATTAAGCTCTTATGGTTTACTCGCGTGTAAAATAACTCATATATTTTTTAAAATATAACATATAAGCTACTCTCGTCAACTCTAAGTTAATAAACATTAGAGCTTGCTTACATGGTATACTAACTCATAATAAACTATTAATATAATTACACGTCATTAGTGTGAGAGAGATCGTGTGCGTACGATGTCATGCTAAACAGTAGTATCTCAGTATTGCTATTGGTGGTTGCTTTTATGACGATGCCTTCTCCTACAATTAATAAAGGTCTTAGTTTTTTGTTAACTCAGATTTGACATAAAGGGTTTATATGTTATATTTTTGAAAATATAAGAATCATTTTATACACGAGTGAATCAAAAGGGTTTAAGAGATCAATGACCAAAACAATAGGGGCTAAAATGGATCTTAATTCTAAATTATATATGTTATTATATTAATAGTTTGTTATGAGTTAACATGTTACGTAAGCAGAATCTAACGTCTATAAACTCAAACTTGACATGAGAGACTTATATATTATATTTTTAAAAATATAAAAATTATTTTAAACATAAATAAATCAAAACCACTAAGAGTAAAATACATCTTAACTCGTATATTTTTATTAAAACATCTTTAAGAGTGCCTAATAAATCCACCAAAAAAATTTTTATCACCCTAACATAGAAAGGAATAATTTGAAAAGATATCCAATTTTCAAAGAAATCTTTCTAAATTCGTACGAGTTCAATGATCTAAATCAAATGTTACAATTCTCATACTCTCCGTGGATATAGAGTTTGTTGACAACAATCAAAATAATATCTTGAGATCTATCATACCACATAATAGAAAATAGCTTGATGTCTAAAGAATACTCTACTACTTTACAAGCTTAAAATCTTCAACAATTTATATGAGTAGACCAAAGATGAGTATGAAACTAATTACTAATAATTGTATTTAAGTCGAGCTCTCAATATACCTACTCTAATTCCTAATTTTTTTTTGGTAAATGTTTCCATAAATCCTAAATGGAATTATATAGGATTCTTTGTCAATTGAGTTCTTTCTCTATTCTCAATGATACATTCTCTTCTATATATATATATATATGTATATATATATATATGTATATATGCATATATAAAATTTATTTTTCAGATTTTTTTTCCTACAACATACTGAAGTGTAAAGTTAAAAGACCACAGTAAATAATTTTTACTGTCCAATAGAAAATTGTGCCACAAACTTAACAGTAATTTAATTGGATGTTTATTTATAGACAGGTAATTCTACTCAATTATTGGACCCTTCTAATAAGATGGCAGGTTCAATAGTGGGTAAAGACAAGAAGGTGCGATAAGGTATAGTTGCCAAGAAAGTTGACGTCGTTAGACTCTTGCTTCATTTTTCTTTTGTGTCTCACCAAAAGAGCTTGCGAGAGAGGGGGAGGGAGATGGGAATGGAAGGGATCAGCCACCGGAAGCTGCACGTGAACGGCATCAACATGCACGTGGCCGAGAAGGGCGACGGCCCCGTCGTCCTCTTCGTCCACGGCTTCCCCGAGCTCTGGTATTCCTGGCGCCACCAGATCGCCTCCCTCGCCGCCCGCGGCTACCGCGCCGTCGCCCCCGACCTCCGCGGCTACGGCGACTCCGACGCCCCTCCCTCCGCCTCCGCCTACACCATACTCCACCTCGTCGGCGACCTCGTCGCCCTCATCCACGCCCTCGGCCAGGACCAAGTAACCTGCTTCCCAGATGGCGATGATGATTCCCTTTCCGATTCCTATATGTGTACCTATATCGTGATTTGGAGGACTGATTGGCACAGGTGTTTGTGGTGGGGCACGATTGGGGCGCGGCCGTGGCGTGGTGGCTCTGCATGTTGCGGCCGGACAAGGTGAAGGCGCTGGTGAACTTGAGCGTGCCGTTTAGCCCTCGGAACCCTCACCGCAGGACGTTGGACTCGTTGAGGGCCATCTTTGGGGACGACCACTATATGTGCCGCTTCCAGGTAGCTAATTTATTGTGTCCTGCCCGGTACCTGTTTGATCAAATGACCATTCAAGATTCGGTCGCAATTAAAGTTGGATCAACTCCTTTACTGATCAGCTTGGTGGTTTTCACCTAATCCTGCACTGAGTTGTGATGGAGGTTTAGTAATCTTGAAACTTGGTACATATGTCCTAACATTGGGACCTGCCAGTTTCACGTTTTACCCATCTCGGCCACCACTTTGGCGATTGGACAAGCAGTGGAGATCACGCGAGCTCCACTCCCAACCACCGACCCGCCTCTCCCTACTCTTAGATATGTTAGGGGTGCTATGAATCCATGATTTTTCTTACATACTGGAGATTGCATATTTTGTATGATCAAAGATAAATAAGTTATAAGCATGAATTTTTTTTTAAACTCAAACCAGGATTATTGATATTTTTATTGGTTTTTAATACCCTATTGCTTTTATGAAAATTTCTCCTTTATTTTTCGAATGGTATAGTAAGTTTAATTCCAATGGTTCTAGCCCTAAGAAAACTTTGATATGTATTTTTTTGCTGTCTAGCAACGAAGAGTCAGATTTGGGATAAGCAAAAACTAAAGTATATTAATGTCGCAAAATTCAGAACACATCTTAGTGTTGTTTCTTTTATACATGGATGATTCCTAAACCTATAGGCAATGATGATATAAAGATGGATGGCTTCCCCCATCGTTATTGTTACCCGTTTGTTGCATCAATTCAATCTACCCAATTTGGTGACAAATAACTTGAGTTATTTGCTATATATAGGACAAGTTACCATTCCTCTTACATACTAGGAAATTTCTGAAAAGCTGGTTAAAAAATGCTTAACCACATTATGCATTTGCTGAGACACAAGTAATTTGAGTTGGGCTGGCTTACACATTTATTGGTGAGTTAGGTTCAGATTTTGTGTACAGAGTTATATTCTCCATAAATCTCAACCGAGAACAATCAGAAACCAACACATCGCCATCCCTAGTTGTAGCTCGGGATTGTGGGTGTCATTTCTAGCATAGTTCCATAAATAGACAGTTCATGCGTCTAAATTATAGTTAGGTGATGTAACTTCTTACTCGAAAGAGTGAGAATGCATCAGTTCTATTTCTTAATCTTGTTCTTCATCTCTTACATTATACTTTCATGATGATGTATTAGGAACATGGGGCAACAGAAGCTGAATTTGCACAGATTGAGACTAGTTTGTTGATTAAAAAGTTCTTAACATATCGCAAGCCAGAACCCATTATTGTACCTAAGGAGAAAGGATTTGATGGTACTCTTGAAACTCCTATTGCCTTGCCTACATGGTTGTCAGAAGAAGATATAAACTATTTTGCTAGCAAATTTGAGAAGTCAGGCTTTACTGGAGGATTGAACTACTATCGGTGCTTGGACTTGTAAGTTTATTTAGATGTATCTTGCTAAGCATTGATTATTTATATGAGCTATTTTACTTGCATTATAGATTAATTTATTTAGCTGTTGCCTTTGATCTAACTACTTAATCAAGATTAGCATCTTCCATGGTTAAATAAACCAGAAAAGATTCATTAATTTTATTTCTAATGATGATATATTTGGTTTAGATTTGAAAATCTCAAGTTCATGATTAATTGGATAAATATAAGCATTTTCAGTTATCTATCTGCATTCTGTGAGACCTACAAATGAACAATTAGTAATTTTTGTTTAGTATCAAAGATGTTCAAGCATACAGGATGGATTGTTCGAGTGAAAACCAAGTGGTCTAATGGTTGCTAAACATTTTGTGTTCCATCTGACTTTACACCTTTTACGATTGCCTCGTATGTCTAAGTCTTTTGTCCTTGTTTTTTTTTTTAAATTAGAGAAATTTATTGTCTACCAGAAATATTATGAATTATATCAGAAAGATGTAAAAAAAAAAATGCAAGATCAAAATAGTTCCAAGTATTCTAATATATAATGTTAAAGAGGATCTCATGATTATAGAATTCAGCAGGATCATGAAACTTCATTGACCAAATATTCAATTTTGCAAGTCAACACACAAGTTTCATCTTTATATTTCTCTGTTCATTTACTTATTATAAAAATGATTATAGGAACTGGGAGCTCACAGCACCTTGGACTGGGGCCCAAATAAAGGTACCTGTGAAGTTTATTGTTGGGGATCTTGACTTGACATACCATTCGCCAGGTGTCCAAGACTACATACACAAGGGTGGTTTCAAAAAACTGGTTCCATTTCTTCAAGATGTGGTTGTGATGGAAGGAGTAGGCCACTTCATCAACCAGGAGAGGGCCCATGATATTTCTGATCACATATACGAGTTCATTAAGAAGTTCTAGTCCTTCATATAAATACTTTCTGCACCTCTGTTAACAAGCTCTTTAACTTTAGTATCATAAATAAATGCTCTCGTGGTGTTTAAATTAGAAAGTATAACTTATGCAATGATTATATAAATTTTGCTTAGCCAGTGTTTCCAATACCAAGAGTTTCCTCTGCACTGAGTAGTTGTTATTGTTGGCATCGGGAATGTTTGTCATTGGAAGTAGCTCGCTTTTTGACATCTGACTTGTAATTTAGGAGATTTTTCAGAAAAAAAAATATTTTTGGGGTTTTTTCCGGAAAGTGCTCTCAGCTTTTAATTTTATCATTTGGTGTAATTTTTTTAATATCTTAAATACCTAATTTGGGTGGATATGGTCGGTCGTTGCGATGGTCGCCTCCATCTCGTCGCTCTGCCTTTATTGTCCTCCTGCTTGACTCACTTGGTTTGTCATCGTTGATGCCTTTGTTGTCTTCAAGAGGAGACCCTTAAGAATGTTGCTGATGGCTCCCATAGTGACATCGTTGCATTAACCTTTGTTTATGCTTGTTTTCCGATCAGAGCTTTGGCAACAAAGAGATTAAACTCAGGCATGTCAAATTAAAAATAAAATTCTCAAATGAACTAAATAATCCTTGTTTCCTTGACAAAATCGAAACAAAAGCAAAACAGCAATGATAATAGGAAATCCTTAATGCCACAACAGTACCATTTAGTTCTCATAAAGTAATTAGAATGATATGAGGCGGCTTAAACCCTAAAACCCCTGCTGTTCCTCCTTCCTCTAGCCCTTTCAAATTTCCTTCCCTTGGATCGGACATAAGGCTTGGTGTTGCTGTGTGGAACTCCAGGTGCTTTACCAAAGTGCTTCACAGCTTCCCTGGCATTCTTTGGACCCCTAAGGAGTACCTGTATGTTAAATTAAGCATACATGAGAAACTGTCATAGTAAATCAAAAGGATTTACACAATTAAGGCAAAGGCAAAAAATTTTGCAGAATGCTAAGATAAAATTAACAAATTCAATCGAGGCAAGTCATCGTAAATCCAAAAAAATTATAGCTATGTAGACAAAGTTCAAAAAACACACTAGAAGATATTAGAATTTTAAAATGTAGCATAAATGAGTAACTGTCTGCATACACATCAAGACAGTCATATAATATCTTTAACTTGTCATTAAGAATTTAATGCACTAATTCAGAACCATTCTACCTGCTAGCAGGATAACATAATCATGTGAAAAATACGCTAGTGGACAGGGTATAAAAGAAAACCTAAAACTAAAACCATCCTTACAATCCATTTTATTTTCTAAACAGATCTTTAAAAATAAGAACCAGCATGTTTCTTTTGTGTATTTTGCCAATAACAATCACATATTATTGAAAGCTTTAGTCAGCAAAAGCTCATTTCAATAAAAATTTAGAAACAAAAACAACATCTCCAAAACACCCACAGTGTTCTACCTAGCCAATTATGATTGTTTGTACACTCCAAAACAACATCTCCAAAACAACATCTTCCTGCCTCTATTGAACCCTATATCTCAATTTCTCACTCCTGTTGCAGAACATGACAAATGAGATAACCATTATCCAGTTCTCATTAATCATCTCTCTCCATGAAAACGTTGGCCTCTAGGATCTAGTTTCCCACTTTTGGATGATAATAAACTGTGAATGATCATCATATCTTGTTATTTTGATTTTATCTGGGTTGTGTATGACTATATTATGTTTCAATATTTAGATATTTTGTACCACATTAACTTAATACACTTATCACATCATGTTACATTTTGATATTTGATATAGTATGGCTCAACTTCATAAACTAGTCTAATAAACATTTTTTGATAGTGTGTGCTATGGTATTACATTAGTGATCAGCTTCACCTGATCACCCACTACCGGCTATCTAATATCTCTACATGAAAATCACCTTAAATTTCACAGATCAATCAAAGAAACAAGTGACTATCAAATTGATAAATATCATAAGAGCGCATCAAAAATAAATACAATAATATAGTGGGATGAATACTGTAAGAAATCAAGAGAAGATAAAAAAACGAAGAAATGCATAATTTGAGTTGCAATTTAGAAATTATCCTCACTCTGCTAAGAAGTAGCTGGATCTGCAATCAAGAGAAAAAATCAGGAGAAAGGAGGACAAATTTACTGCAAGATTCTGAAGGTTCTGTTACATGGCATTATAGCTGTAAAATGGATCAAGGCATCCCAACAACAGTCACACTCTTCTTCATTGCATGAGCCACTTTGTATTTCCACAGAAGTTCTCATTGGTTCAGCATACAACACTCAACTAATTATAAATACAACCATCTGATATAAATGTGTGGGCTGTCCAATCAGATATGAAGTCTCACACAGCAATAAGCATCACTTGTGAGGAACAAGCTTCAAGAATCGTCAATTAGGGAGTCAATCTCATATAATCAAACAAAACACGGCTTGTACCAGGGTAGAAATAAAGCATTTTTTATTTTAGGAAAAAAAGGAATAAGAAAATGGATGACCAAAATAAAAAGACAACCAATTCAGGGTAGATTATTTTCTTCACCAAGAAAATACAAACAATTTGTGAGTGGAGAGATCAGAAAGAGAAAAGAGAGAAAACAAGAATAATACGAGGGACCACACGAGCATCTGATATAGACATAATAAAGTTCCTTTAATCGAAAAACATCTAGGGAATCAGAAGTAAATTAACAATTACGAGTGTACATGTAAGTAAATTAATCAAAGGTAAGTCTCCAACATTTCTATAGATTTTTCCGGACTACAATTTAGTTTCTTCAGCAACTCACCAGGGACTAGTTCATTTGCAACTATGTAGCATATCTAAAATCATCAAAACCACTCCTCTAACTTCACAGAATGGAAATAGTAAGAGAATAGGCTTATAATATGGCGATAAAAACAAGACAGAAGAAAACAGAAGTAAGGAAAAAGTATACCGTGTTCTGCCCAAGAGGCGCCCGAAGAGCAAGCTGATCAAAAGTCAAGCATTCCCCACCAGCCTTGAGAATCCTAGCCCTCGCTGTCTCCGTAAACCTCAGAGCCGTCACCTTGAGCGCCGGAACCTCGTAAACTCTCTTATCGTCGGTCACGGTCCCAACGATCACAGCAATCTTATTATCCTGGTCGAGATCAAATCAATCAGGACGATTGCAAGTCACGAATCTCGGAATCTCTACAGAGAAGAACTAGAGGCAATGAAAGGTCCAACCTTCCCATTCATGAAAGTGATGAGCCTCTTGAGGGAGATCGGGGGCCTGTTGATCTTGCTCATAAAAAGCCTCTTAAGTATCACCGCATTGAACTTGCTCCCCGTCCTCCGCACCAAGAACCTATAGAGCTGATCCAACAGAGAGAACAGAAACGAATCCGTCGTCAGATCTGATGTGAGAGCCAGTGAGAGAGCGCTCAGAAAAACCGAAATCAACGAGTGCAAGCCAGTTTAACCTTGACGAGAAGTTTGAGGTAGACATCGTCGGACCTCGGGGCAGTGCGCCTCGCCTTCTTGCTCCGGCCGCCGGCGACGATATCGATACCCTGAAATGGACCAAGGAGAGAGAATCCCGAATGAGAGCACAGGGGAGAACCAGGGCTAAGAATCGAGAAAGAGTGTTCGAGATGCGATCACCATTGCCCCTCGCTGTTCCTCGGCTCCTCCGAGCGGCGCTTCGGTTCTAGGGTTTTGGTGCTCTGATTCCCAGAGGGTGGAAATGCTTCGAGGGTATTTATACAGCACCACTGATTTGGGTTACCAGGGGAAACTTATTGTCAAATCTTGAGCATTGGATTTCGATGGTGAGATCTCAACCGTTGGATGGTTGAACATGATGGGGCGTGAGGATCAACCTGCTGTTATAGTTAGAATTCCGAGAACGCCCCTCACATTTATCCTAAATAACAATTGTATTTGATTTTTTAATAAAAATAATATATGTTTTTTATTTTGATTAGATTTATAATAATAAAATATTATATATTTTTAGAAGTATAATATAGTTTGGCAGGAGGCAAGGGAAGAAAGAATGGGCGCAGTAGATTCGATGATGGGATGTGATCCTTCTTCATCGACTTTATTCCATCTCTATTCAGCTAAAACCTTTTTTGTGCATCTTATGATTCCATAAGCTCAATTTGCCCTCTAGAATTATACAAGATTACGTGCCGCAAATAGAATTCGCAGTTAAGTAAAATTTCTTTTTTTTTTCGTCTCTGTATAGGAAACAGAATATATATATATATATATATAGATTGACTGGAGTTTGACATATGCTTACACAAACTGAAGTTTGACATATTTCTTTTCCTTCTAGTGGCAACGCAAGAAAACTGAAGTTTGACATATGCTTACACAAACAACAAAAAGAATGAGATCAAGAAGTTTTCTTGTCTTTCTTAAAGAACAAAGAACATCTAAAAAAAGAGGTGATTTCTCTTACAAGTTACTATATACGTCTATACTTTCACCATTTACCTACCAACATATCTTTTTGTGGCTTTTGCCCGTGCAAATAAACTAATCTATGGTTTGATGTGAGCTTACAACTAGTTTAACACTCTTATATTCTACTCTATACATGTTCACTGTTTTAGTGTAACAAGCAAAAAAAATTGCACAAACATTCAATTACCAAATCTATTTTAACGGCCAAATTAACTTTTTCTGTCACTCCTTCAAATCACAAAAGTCTAAAAATAAAAATCTTTTGCTGAGTAATAGTGATGATAAAAGTCTAAAATCAATCTCACAAAAAATGGCACGATCATAGTCCATTAATATATAAGTGTGATTTCATACATCATAATTGACTGCTGGGAAAAAGGTGGTATGCATCCCTTCCAAGGATTTGCCTGCAAACGCTTGGGACTTTATACTTATTAAATTATTCCACTCACTCCAACCGTTCCATCTGTAACACAAACAAATTTCACATATGAGAATCTTAAAAATCACAAAAAAAAAAAGTCATCAATGTTTGTAAAAAGAAATTGAACATCTAGTATTCAAAATCTGAATAAATTAATTGAATGCACATCATAAAATCATCACTAAAAGCATCATTGTTCTGCATGTTTTATTTCTTCAGCTGCCTTCCGAATATCATAGGAGGTTTGTACTTAACGAGATAAATTGAACACTCATCGGATTAGGTAATCAGGGCTGATGCTGATTCATCAGCTCTATCTACATGAGTGAATACTAGCATAGTAACACAGATGAATCAACTAGTTATTTGGTTCATAGGTTTTCTCGAGGTTGACCAGATCTCAACTTTCTTCTTATTACTATGGCTGCAGTTTGTATGCACAAACTTAATTTGTGGAGTTTTCACTGATGACTGACATACTATATATAATATAGGCTGGAAAGTGAAAATATGTATCTCATACATTTATGTGAAAAAACAGAACGTGAAAAAGAATATATCTTGAAGAGAAGAAAAAAAATATATTTACAGAAATCTTTTTTATTTCAAGAAAGAAAGGAAAGAAGAAATATACCTTCCAAAGACCATCATTCAGATAGTGCATATTATCAACTCCAATTCCCTTGTTGATAGTCTTTCTGCGTCAAGAACAATAATCACATTCTAAATTTAGCATATTTTAACAAAATAAAAACATGACCATAGGTTACAAAAATGAGGCTTTGGCTGCTTTAGCCACTATTTTATCGCACCTTTATGAAGAAACAATTAAAATTGCACCGGTGTGGTGCCAATGAATGCCGACCAAAGTCACCATACTTTGCAGGAAATCTAAGTAATTATGCATGCTATAATAAACTAATAAAAGCATTGATAGGTTGAATCAAAGTTGAGGTAATTTATTTCCATTCTACAATATGCCAAAAGACATTGATATACTGAAAGATCCTTGATGACACCTTCCATTGGAATATGAAGATGCAAAAATTCATGTATACCCTTCAGAAGACAGACATATTGATGATCTTGTCGGCAACTCTAAAGTATTAACCTTCTTCTATGAATATTGCCACTGCTTCCTTCCATCTAAATGCATACTAATGGCATTAGCCATATCTCGAAGGAAGTTGCTTTCTACCTTTTTAAATAAGCACTGGTACTACTGCACTTTCTGAACTGTAGAATATGAAGGAGCAAAAGTTCTAAAAAATGTAAAGAACATACTGATGATACCGTCCACAATTTTGGACTCTCCATGAATATGCAACTACTTCCCTTCCATCTAAATTTGTATTAGCGACCCTGAGCACAACTCTGAAATGATTGGTATCTACTAACTGAATATTGCTGCTAGTGCCCTTCTAGTCATGTAAGTCCATCAAAGGACGGAAGCAGATTTACCTTTTCTTTAAGAAAAGAGCACAGGTTAATTGATGAAAGAAAATAAGAACTTAGCATATAACAAACACGATATGCTGCCTTTGATGCATTTAAAAGACATGACGTGAAGTAGCGAGTATTCACTAAAAAATGTGGAAACCGATCACTTCCTTGTCATCTAGGAAAATGTGTCCTATAACACAAGTCTAAGTTGAATGGTTTCAACCGTCTATATAGAGACCAGAGAAGTGACTAAAGCACCTTTAAGATGCGAAGCAGCTCTTTCAAATTCCAAATTTACCCCTCTAGTTTGATCATATGTTCACAGTTAAAGAAGAAATACTGACTTGATGAGATGAGAATTTTGCAGTTTCAAGGTTGTGGTTTTCCATGTAGCTTTTAGCACTACAATTAACAGCTACAGACAAGAGGGGGAAAAACAATAATATAGGGTATGTCTACTACCTGCCTGGACCAACACAAGGAACAATGAATATCTTTTTGCAAAAAATACTGGGCCACAGATGTCTGGGCCAAGATCAGCCCAAAACATCTCAGCTTAGTGTGTGTGGCCTACCATTTTATGATGAGATTCCGTATTACCTATATTAGCTACATAATAAAATTCCAACCACTAATGTCTGACTATTTACCATAATCGTATTGTGCTAAACTGAAGAGTGCCCAAGTGGTTGCCTTTGGTACAGAAGTCAGTAACACAAAAAAGTTATGGTAATCCAACAAGATATAGGTTGTAATAGATAATAACACTTGCTTATTTCGGAGTAATATTATACACATTGTTTAAGGTTTTGGTTGGACCGATCCGTACAACAGGTATTTACCAGTTTGACCATGAGCCAGCATGTGAACTATAAAATTTCACCTGGTATGTTACCATTACAGTTACTGTGCTGAGCATACTGCCTAGTATATTTACTAGTACCGAGTTGTACCAAGGAGAAACCAATACCCAACCCAAAAAATTTTCCTCTCTTACCCAAAATCCGCTTTCCTCCACACTTTCAACTCCTTCCGACTTCAAATGTTATTTAATTTCTTCTCTCAAGTGCTCCCTTTTTCCACCAAATTTCCCAGATAAATTGGATTTGGAGATTTCTCTCCTGCTATGGAGTGGATTTCTGGAGAACAATCTTAGCTTTTCTCCCAATAAAACTGAGTACCAATCATATCCTTATATTTACAACTTCAATTTCTTGCTTAAGAAGGGTTTTTGCTCAAATTAAGGCTAAAATTTTTGTTTTAAGCATACATTATTTCTCTAAGGACAGATCTATGCATATTCTGTGTAGATTATTCGAATCTAAGCTATATCAACATAGATCTGGACAAGATGGTGCAAGTCCACCTATGATCAGTACAGAACCTTGCATATCTGATAGTTCCACGTATCCGATAGATCCATGCAAATCCACCATAGATCTGTCATTTTTCCGTTATTCAAGTATAATTTTTTTAATTATGAACCTAAATCTTTGATATCTGTAGATAAATTTTTAAAATTGTTAAATCAATCCAGTTTAGAATAAGACATGATTTTACCAGTTAGTCCACTGGTCTTAAAATGAGAAGGATAAAAAAGGTGAACATATGAGCTACATAAAACAATTGAGTAAGAAAAACTTACATGTCTTTTGCTGATAGTTTTGTATACCCAATAGCCAATGCATGTTGCTTTCCTTCAGCCATTATGGCCTGAAAAGGGAAAACATAAACCTCTTATTATCACGATTAACACAAGCCACGATCTACCTTGCAGAGAAGTCAGATCACAAAAAACTACAAGTAATCTGAACTATTATTTTTCAAATACTGACTCTCTGATTCACTGCACAAAGAGTACATGTGATATAAGTTATTTTTTACTGATATTTTAACTCTAAGTTCCTGCATATCGAATTTTACTTTTTCCAATTGTTAGCAGAGTACCCACTAAGTGCAGCTTTATTAATCTAGTACCTCACAGTCAAGGAATGCAAGCATATGTAGAAAGGTCGCATGTCCAGATCTATCTAACACAGACTTGAGGCATAGTGACATCATACACCACAATAATATGTTACTGTTGGTATATAATAATTTATTAATTTATAATAACAGGGTTTCCACGACGAGTAGCAGAATCTGTTCAAAATATTTTTTTATGCAAATATAGCTGCTCCTCGGGTCATCCTAATGCTGGGTCTACTAGGTTTGACAAGTCCATACTTGTTGGTCAGGACTCTGAATAATCAACTGAATTAAGTTCTCTGATGAATATATTTATACAAGCAGGATGAGACTGTACCACAGGTGTTTCCTCCAACACTTCCTCATCCAATGTACCGCCAGGGGATGTGAGACCAGGACACATTATGTTTGCACCTGATAGGACAAACTTGATAGCACC